AGGCTCCACCCCTAGGTCTACCAACGAAAAAAAACTTCATTATTACATTTTTAGATCAAGGCAGGTGTGGATGGGCCTTAATTTTTGGGTCTATTTATTTATTTATTTATTTATTTAAATATACATTGTATGTATTGTTTAAATAACACGATACTCAAAAAACATGTCATATGGAAAAAATCATCACCATTGAGATAGGGCGGATGGGCGGGACTTATATTTTGCCTGTTTTCTCAATATACGTAGTCGTCTTTTCAGAACAAGCGACTTAAAACATGTTTAAAATGGTAAATCCTTGTAGACAAATATGGATCTCGCAATTAAGCCCCGCCGCTCTATCTGACAGCGAATGAAAAATTCATCACCATTGAGAATTGAGATCGGGGTGTGTATGGGTGGAGCCTAATATTTGGCTTTATTGTTTTCTTAATATACATAGTATTCTTTGAACAACACGATAGTCAAAAATTTGTTTGTAATTTCTCGTTGAGAAATAAGGATTTTGCAGTTAAGCTCCGCCCCCATGGCTCACGATGAATAAAAAAAATCATCACAATTGAGATAGGGCAGGTGGGCGGGTTTATATTTGGTATTTTTGTTTTAATATGTGTAGTCATCTTTTCACAACAAGAAACTTAAAACATGGTTAAAATGGTACATTTTTGCAAGGAAGTATGGATCTTGCAAATATGGAGCAGAGCCTAATAGTAAAATCGATATTTCCTTATACAAATTTACCATTTTAAACATGTTTTAAGTTTAATGTTGTGAATATAAGTCTACACACTTTAAAACAAAGAGGCAAAATATAAGCCCCCCCCACCCGCCCTGTCTCAATTGTGATGATTTTTTTATTGGCCGTGAACCAAGGAGGCGGAGCTTAACTGCAAAATACTTTTTTTTTTTTTACAAGAAATTAAAAACATGTTATTGAGTATCGTCTAGTTCAAAAAATACTACTATGTATATTAGGGTGATTCAAAAAAAAAAAATAATTTTTTTTTTCGTGCAAAGAGGTTCAAAAGTTTCTTTTCAACGTAAAAAAATACCAGTTAAAATTTGAGCTCTTAATATTAATATTAAGACCGTCCGCATCGCGTTTTTCTATTTCCCATAAGAATAACATGGGAAAATTTTTGTTTGCACATTCTGATTTTTATTGCTAGCCCGTCGTGTGTCGTGAAAAAAATTCAATCACATATTTTTATAGAGAATTGAACGCTCTACAAAAAGTGTCTCCTATGATTGTGCGAGAAACCTGATAGTTGAAGAGTTATTTTAGGCTAAAGTTAAATTTATCCAAATTTTGACGTTTTTGATGCATTACAATAAATTTGATGGTCTTATTGGAATAAATCACCACAAAAATTTATACACATTTTAAATTTAGTTTTTTAAACAGTAATTGTTTATAATTTTATGCTATAATAAGGCCAGTAAAACTCTTTCCGAACATTTTCAGCATCAGTGGGTTAAAAAATCATAGTCAGGTTTCTCGCAAAATCATAGGAGACACTTTTTGTAGAGCGTTCAATTCTCTATAAAAATATGTGATTGAATTTTTTTCACGACACACGACGGGCTAGCAATAAAAATCAGAAGGTGCAAACAAAAATTTTCCCATGTTATTCTTATGGGAAATAGAAAAACGCGATGCGGACGGTCTTAATATTAATATTAAGAGCTCAACTTTTAACTGGTATTTTTTTACGTTGAAAAGAAACTTTTGAACCTCTTTGACACGAAAAAAAAAATTATTTTTTTTTTTTGAATCACCCTAATGTATATGTAATGAGAAAAAAGGGCAAGACAGAAACTCCGCCCACCCATATTGTCATGATTTTTCTATTCTTAGAAACTTAAAAAACGTTTAAAATAATAAATTTTTGCAAGTAAATATGGATTTTGCAATTATGGGGCGCAGCCTAATTGCAACATCGATATTTCCTTATACAAATTTTCCATTTTAAACATATTTTAAATTTCATGTTGTGAAAAGAAGTCTACACGTATTAAAACAAAAAGGCAAAATATAAGCCCCGCCCACCCACCCTGTCTCAATTCTGATAATTTTTTTATTCGCCGTGAACCAAGGAGGCGGAGCTTAATTACAAAATACTTATTTCCTTACGAGAAATTAAAAACATGTTTTTGAGTATCGTCTTGTTCAAAATATACTATGTATATTAAGAAAAAAGGGCGAAATATAAACCCCGCCCACCCACCCCATCTCAATTGTGATGATTTTCTTTTGATCTTAGAAAATTAAAACACGTTTAAAATAGTAAATTTTTGTAAGGCAATACAGATTTTGCAATTAGGATCCCCTTCTCAGCTTACGACGGATAAAAAAAAAATCATCAGAATTGAGATAGGGCGGGTGGGCGGGAGTTATATATTGCCGTTTTTTTCTTCATATACATAGTCATCTTTTCATAACGAGAAACTTAAAACATGGTTAAAATGGTTTTTGCAAGGAAATATGTATTTTTCAATTATGGGATGAAGCCTATTGCAAAATCGATATTTCCTTATACAAATTTACCATTTTAAACATGTTTTAAGTTTAACGGTGTGAAAAGAAGTCTACACACTTTAAATCAAGAAGGCAAAATGTAAGCCCGCCCACCCTCCCGTCTCAATTGTTAACTTACTGCAAAATAATTATCTCTTTATAAGAAATTAAGAAATGTTCTTAGTATCGTGTTGTTCAAAGAGTATTAAGTATATTACGAAAGAAAGGCAAAACATAAAACCCGCCCACCCACCCTACTCTCAATTGTGATGATTTTTTTATTCTTAGACACTTTTAAACACGTTTAAAATAGTAAATTTTTGTGGGGAAATATGGATTTTGCAATTAGGCTCCGCCCCTAGGTCTTCCAACGAATGAAAACTTCATTACTATTTACAACAGGGCAGGTATGGGTGGGGCTTAATATTTGGCTTTCATTTTTTCTTAATATACGTAGTAGTGTGTCTTATATGGCAATTTCTTCTAGAGCAATAATAAGAATTTTGCAGTTAAATTTCGCTCCTTTGGCTCTGAACGATTAAAAAAAAATTGGTCTAAAGAGTTTAGACAGTACTTCCCTCGCTGTCGGAAACGTGACGACTGCATGCCTATTATGTTTTTTTTTTCGCAGTGGATTTCAAAGAATTCGGTTTTGTAGTTCCTGATTAAATCAATAAAATATATTTACGCATTCATTAATTTTTTTGAGTCACTCTGTATATGCAAATCCAAAAAATATAAATGGAGTGATAAATGACAAGTACAGACTCATCATATTTTGTACATTTTAGATATGATTTATTCGGCAAACTTTCGAGCTGACGTCATCAAGTTTTTGGAGGGGATAAGCAAATATATTTTGACTAGACATTTATAATGCTCTTTATGACCTTAAAACATCTGCAAGATTTCAGAGCATTCGGTTTTGTAGTTCCTGATTAAATCAATAAAATATATTTACGCATTCATTAATTTTTTTGAGTCACCCTGTATATGCAAATCCAAAAAATATGAATGGAGTGATAAATTACAAGTACAGACTCATCATATTTTTACAGTTTAGATAGGATTTATTCGGCAAACTTTCGAGCTGACGTCATCAATTTTTTGGAGGGGATAAGCAAATATATTTTGACTAAACATTTATTATGCTCTTTAGAACCTTAAAACATCTGCAAGATTTCAAAGCATTCGGTTTTGTAGTTTCTGAGTAAATCAGTAAAATAAATTTACGCATTCATTAATTTTTTTGAGTCACCCTGTATATGCAAATCCAAAAAATATGAATGGAGTGATAGATCACAAGTACAGACTCATCATATTTTGTACATTTTAGATATGATTTATTCCACAAACTTTTGAGCTGACGTCATCAAGTTTTTGGAGGGGATAAGCAAATATTTTTTGACTAAAGATTTATGATGCTCTTTATAGCCTTAAAACATCTGCAACATTTCAAAGCATTCTGGTTAGCAGATTAAAAATTAAATTTCAAAATGTTGTTTTATAATTTTGATTTTTTTTCCAAAAATCTGGACGTTTCGGGTGAAAAGTCGATTCGGAGTTGTAAACTACATGTGTAGGACTATGTTATTTTATACAATTGAAAACCCATTTACTATGTACAATTTTGAAGTGACGTCATCGCATTAGTGGTGGGGATGATTAGACAAATTTTGGTTAGCGTTTTACCATCTACATGATATTCTTAATATAAGTACAAAATTTCACAACAATCGGTCGAGTACTTTCGGAGATTATCTGTCTAATAAAAATCCGGGACAACAGACGGACAGACGGACGGACAGACGGACAGACGGACGGACAGACGGACAGACGGACAGACGGACGGACAGACGGACAGACGGACAGACGGACAGACAGACGGAAATGGGAGACCTATTTCTTCGTCTTCTAGGGGTCATGAAAGATCGAGAAAACGTAAAAGTAGAGAGTCGGCCGACGGACTCGATTACAATACTTCCTTTGCTTACGCTCGGGAAGTAAAAATGATCAGAATTGAGACAGGGCGGGTGGGCGGGGCTTATATTTTGCCTTTTTTCTTAATACACCTAGCCGTCTTTTCAGAAGAAGAAACTTGAAACATGTTTTTAATTTCTCGTACGGTAAAAGGATTTTGCAGCTAAGCTCCGCCCTCTTGGCTCACGACGAATAAAAAAATCGTTACAATTGAGATAGGGTGGGTGGGCGGGGCTACTTTTTTACGTGTGTTTCTTGATATGTGTAGACTTATTTGGACAACAAAACTTAAAACACGTCTAAAATAGTATTTTTGTGATAATCAACTTAAATCCTTCACTTTTCTTCTTGTACATATAAAGTACCATCTTGTGTCTCGAGACTAGTTTAAACAAAATCAAGGTCGATTCATTGTTTACGTTGCATTTTTCAAACGCAGTTAGATAATCGGAGACGCTTATTTAATATACTTTAATCAATTTTGGGCGTCCTTGACCCCGAGACCTCCATTTACGCGATTTCGTATATATTGTCGGCCGGCAACAAGTCGGAATTTCGCGGTTATTTTTAACCCGTGTGGAAAGTGCCTCAGTTTTCAACAACACGACAATTTTTTTCTTTGCACACATATTTACGTTAATAAACGCAGTGTCATTAGAATGAAGTAACAAATTTCTTGACGAAAATACTTATCAACAGTTTGTAGAAATGTCCGGTGAGAATGGTTATCTTGCCGAACCCAGAGGTTTCGCAACAGCTGCCATTCATGCCTTTCAAGAGCCAGAACAATGGGGTTCGATGGCTGTGGTAGCGCCCATGGTGGCTTCCACGACTTTCAAACAATATGGGCCCGGGAATTTTAAGGTACGTACAGTGGATATCAACATGAAACAACAGAAAATCTGTTCTTTAGGAATTTGAATATGGACGTTCTGGAAACCCCAACCGAGACGTTTTAGAAAAGTGCTTAGCCACTCTGGACAACGCAAAATATGGACTTTGTTGGTCCTCCGGCCTGGGTGCTACCATGGGAATAGCCAGTCTTTTCAAAGCCGGGGATCATATTATATGTGGGGACAACCTTTTTGCAGGCACAAGTTGCCTCTTCGGCAAAATTTGCACGAAACTCGGACTCGAAATTTCGTTTGTTAACGAAAGTAAGATCGAAAGCGCCATAAAAGAAAACACCAAAGTAGGTCTACTTAATTTCGTTTAGATTTTTTTAATTAAACTGTTTTCAGCTAATTTGGATTGAAAGCCTGACAAATCCGACTCTCACAGTAGTCGACATTCCCGCAATAGCAGCCATTGCCCACAAACACAATGTGTTACTGGCTGTTGACAGTACTTTCGTAACGTGTTATTTTCAACGACCTATTGACTTGGGAGCCGATCTCGTAGTACACTCCCTTACAAAATTCATGAACGGCCATACTGACGTGATCATGGGTGTCACTATCACAAATAACAAAGATCTCTATGACCAGCTTAAATTTCTTCAAAATTGTAAGCATTTTTTCACACGAACCTTTACTTTGATTGTAGTAACACTATTCCAGCAATGGGTATCGTGCCGGCCCCATTTGACTGTTACCAAGTAACACGAAGCTTAAAAACTTTAGCTTTGAGGATGAAACAGCACATGAAGAACTCCCTAGAAGTTGCAAAATTTTTAGAAACGCACCCAAAAATCGAGAAAGTTTTATATCCCGGACTGCCTTCTCACCCTCAACATGAGTTATACAAAAAACTGGCTTCTGGATGTAGCGGGATGGTATCATTTTACATTAAAAATGCAGCGCTTGAACAATCTCAGCGGTTTTTGACTTCTTTGAAAGTAATCACGCTGGCTCATAGCCTAGAGGGTTATCACAGTCTGGCGGCACTGCCGTACGTTTCTCAAAATTTTGCTCTGTCGTTTTACCACAGGTCATTTCAGGTCGGTAATGTCGCACGGTGCCGTTCCTGAAGATCAACGGAAAATTCTGAACATCACCCACAACTTGATCCGACTATCCGTTGGTTTGGAAGACATCGAAGACTTGATAGACGATTTGCAACAAGCTCTGGAAAAAGTCTGAATTTTATTATAAATACAAATCTGTAAAATACGTACCACAAAATGTACACTATCTATATGTATATTTGAAATATTTTCGATAATATAATCACACGTTATTTAATTCAAAGCACCGCATTTCGCTAAATGCATCCTTACGCTCGTAATGTACTTCCCTAAGTACGTGATGGAAGTATCCTGGAAGTACGGTTTCCCAAAATCAACTCCACTCTCTTTCATCCCACAAAAAATCCGTCGCACATCTGTAAAAAACCGTTCTATATCACTTTCGTCGGAAACGACTTCGACTTGAAACTTATAAGACACGAACTGGTCTTCGAAATTGTCTTTTTTGTCGACCACCATACAGCGGAAAGACGACGCTATTAAGGCTCCATGTAAACTAAAAGGCGACAAAATAACCCCCAAACACGGCCTTCTATCCCCGATCCACACCTGAAAGTCTTGTTGGGTGTCCAAATCCTGCTCCGATGGTTCAGGGGCGAAGGTCAGGTGCGAGTGGAACCAACCCAGAACGTCAAAACCGCGTTTGTGGATGGAATCCGCGGCTTTTGACTGCGAAATAGGGTACACGTCGCTGTGAGTAGCTGACGAAGCGATGTTTCTGCATGATTCGTAGTGGGAGATGGTAAGGAGGTTGTTGTCGGGGTTCCACGAAGCAGCGACCAAACCCATGACTTCAGTTAGCGATGTGTGGGTGTGGAAATCCATGAGGAGGAGGGTCGTTAGGTGCATCTTGACTTTGTATTTTTGCTACAAAAAGGTGTTAGTTGGAGTTGGAGGTAAGTTTTTGACCTACAGGGGTGCCTTCAGGGACAGGTCTACAATAGATTAGTCGAATTGAGGGTTTCTTTAGGTAAATTTTTGGTTTCGGGGGTTCCTCGCTGACAATGGTTGTGTTGATAACGTCTCCTTTTTCGTCGTGGGTTAAGAGGACTCGCTAGACGAGGTATAACATTTTTTTGTTTTTTTTTATGAAAAATGATATTAATATAGATGTATCATACATCAAACTGCAGCTTTTTTCATATTCTAGAGCGCAGAGACTAATCAATTAAAAAAATATGGCTGAGAAATATCGTAAAAAAAGCACCATTGTATGTTTTCTTTTCAAGTTTTTTGAGTCATAACCATCATAGAATCGCTTAAAAATTCGCACATGGACAAAACATCACTTTTTACAGGGCGCAGAGTCATTAAATGTTTGTTAGTGGTACAATTTGTTTAAATAATAATGTGTTTTTTAAAATCAAAATATACCACAAATTAATACAAAATACGTCGAATAATTTTAACAGGAATATCAGAGGAAAATTAATGATCTATTGGTAACAAAAACTAAAAAGTATTGAAAAAAATGGGTATCAATTCGACAGATTTTGAGCCGTTAGTTCAGTACTTTGCCGATAGGAGCGCCACAAAAATTTACGGAAGCGACTTTCCAGGTAAAACCCTTATCGCCTGCTCTACCATAAGCTAATTGTTAGAGTTCTCGGCTGATTTTTCTAATTTATGGCAAGGAACTCAGTTTTATAACAAGCCGCCAGGACCGGCCGTAGTAATCTATTGTTAAGGAAATTAACTTTTACGCAATGAGGTACTATCATAAAACCGAATTAAAACTGGGGAACTATAATATTTTTACTGCACTCAGGATCCTGAATTCAATACACATGATTACTAAAAATTCATTGTAACATTATTGTTAATATATATTTTACTTTGTTAATTAATAAAACTAATAAACATCTTTAGAATGATAATAAAAAAGATATAAAATACAGATTTTGTTTAACACGTATAAGTAGCTAAGTGTATCTACTACTTATCCCAGAAAGGATGTGTTTTAAAAAAGCCCTACGCCCAGTAACTTCTCCCTTCATTGTTTACTCGAAAAAAGTGCTCGTATATGTTTTCATTTGCCGAGAGATCATTTTCAAAATATATTTATAATAAAAATATGCAAGTCTTGGTGATGAAAAATGAACTCCTAATAAATTATTAAAGTACATAAAAAAATAGAAACAAATTTTATTTATTTTAAAAAAATCTCTCGCAAAAGCAGGTTCCTCTTTCTTCTTAAATCAATTATTTCGGGCAATAATGCGCCAAAATAAAATCTGCCAAGTTTATCTGCCATCTTTTTACATATTTCTTCGTTTTTTTCTATATTAATTTGTTTGGGTGTCCACACAACAAAATAAACTTGTGAAATACCCGTAACAAGCGGAAATGTTTTAAATTTATCATAAGCATGGTAAATTTTTGATCAAAATATAATTATTTGCTCATCCCTCCTAAAAAATGGATGACGCCACCCCAAAATTTTGCTGAATAAATCCTATCTAAAATGTATAAAATATGATGAGTCTCTTCTTGTGATTTATCATTCCATTCATGTTTTTTGGATTTGCATATACAGGATGACCCCAAAAATTAATGAATGCGTAAATTTATTTTATTGATTTAATCAGGAACTACAAAACCGAATGCTTTGAAATCTAATGTGAAAAAAAACATAATAGGCATGCAGTCTTCACGTTTCCGATAGCGAGGGCAGTACTGTCTAAACTCTTTAGACCGATTTTTTTGATTTTCCCATTTCTCCATTTCTCAATTTTTCAATGTTTCAGTTTGGGATTTTTTCACTGTTTCGATTCTTTAATTTTCCTTTCAATTTTACGTTTACAATTTTGCAATATTTCGTTTATTCAATTTTTCAAATTTTTGATATATATTTTTTTCTTCATTTTTTATTTTACAGAGAAATTACAGAGTAGAGGAAAAAAAAATCCTATGGGTACTCTATACAAATTAAACTAAATTTTAAAGTTAACTAATTGAAAGTAACAGAGTTGATATTGTGTTTTCTCGGTTCTTAAATTTTTCGATATTTTAATTTTTCAGTTTTTAAAGTTTTAGGTTTTTAGATTTTTCACTATCTCGACTTTTCGAATTTTCAGTTCCATCATTTTTCAATTTGTCGAATTTTTAAATTTTAGATTTTTTGTTTTCTTTGATGTTTTGAGTTCTCGATCATTCGATTTTCTGAGTTTTCAGGTTTAGATTTTTTTTGTTGTTCAATTCTTGGATTTTTAAAATTTTTGTTTTTTAAATTTTCCTATTTATCAATTTACTGGGATTTCAACGTTTTGATTTTTTGATTGTTCAATTTCTCGATTTTTTGAATTTTTAGTTTCTGATACGATTTTTTTTTTCAAAAATTTTCAGTTTTTCAATTTATTAACTTAACGATACTTCAGTTTTGCTGGATTTCAATTTCTCAATTTTTAGATATATTACTGTTGGGATTTTTCAATTTATCCCTTCTTCGATTTCTCGATTCTTCATATTTTCGGTTACTCGAATTTCTTCATTTTTCGATGTCTCAATTTTTCGATTAACTGATTTTTTTATTTTCCCGTTTCTCTATTTCTCGATTTTTCAATTCTTCCTTTAATTGTGATTTTTCAATTTTTCGATTTCTGAATTTTTCAATGTTTCAGTTTTGGATATTTTCACTTTTCCGATTCTTCAATTTTCTTTCCATTTTTCAGTTTTTCAAGATTTCAGTATTGAATTCTTTCACTTTTTCGATTTTTCAATTTTCCTTCCATTTTTCAGTTTTTCAGTTTCGGGATTTTGCAATGTTTCGGTTCTTCAATTTTTCCATTTTTTGATGTTTCGATTTCTCGGTTTTTCAATTTTTCGATAGGTATTTTAATTTTTCAATTTTTACGTTCTAGATTTTCCGTTAATTTTTTTGTTTTCCTTGATGTTTTGATTTGTCGATTATTCGATTTTTCAAGTTTTTCCAATTCTTCGATTTTTAAATTGTTTAATTTTTAGATTGTTCAATTTCTCGATTTTTAGATTTTTCAATTTTTCGGTTTACCGGTTTTTTTTTTCATTTAAATTATTAACTTTTCTTTTTTTCAATTTTGGTCTAATTTGATTTCTTAATTTTTTGATTTTTTGACTCCTTTACTGTTGATGTTTTGATTTCTCGATGTTTCAGTTTTTGAACATTCCGATGTTTCGATTTTTCGACTTTTTGGCTTTTCGAGTGTTCAATTTTTTGATTTTTGAATTTTAGATTTTTGTTATTTTGATTTTTTTGGTGTTTCGATTTCCCAATTCTTCAATTTTTCGATATTTTAATTTTTCAATTGTTCAAATTTTTAAATTTTAGATTTTTATTTTCTTTTATTTCTCAATTTTTGGATTTTTTAAATTTTACATTTTTCGATTTTACTATTTTTTGATGCTTGGATTTCTCAATTTTTCAAGTTTTCAATACTCAATTTTTCAGGATTTGAATATTGAGAACTTTTCAATATCTGGATTTTCAATTTTCAGATATTTTAATTTTTTGATTTTTTAATGTTTCGATTTTTGGGTGTTTTGATTTTTCGATTTTTAAAGTTTTTGATTTTTCGATTTTTCCGATTTGTTGTCTATTTTAAGTATATTTCATTTTTCAATTTGCGCCTTCTGCGGGAGTATTATTTGTTGTGCTGCACTTGACGGGCGAGGGAAGTTCTGTCGAAATAACCTTCGACTAATTTTTATACTTAGCACGTAGGGTTCTTACTAAGCATTCCTTATTTAACCGAACAGTTATTAATTTAACTAAGCAGCTATTATTTCACCAAGCATATATTATTTTTACTGATAATTTATTTTTTAACTGAGCATTTATTATATAACTTAGCATTTATCATTTTTACCGAACAAAAATACAGAACGTTTAAAAATAGAACTGTGCATTTAATTTGTTCCCTTATCTAAATAACAAGAAAACGGTATTAAGAATATATTTAGGCGAATAAAGTAATAGACGGGCTTGATAAGCCTTGTTTGCTCTACAGTGTCTAAATTGTGTTTGAATAATATAATAATTATCTCGAATATTAAAATTAATATGTCAAAAGAATACGAGAAATGATTATTCTGTGCTGAAGGTATGTTGTGGGCCGCCTGTCATAAATTGTCATTATTCTTCATTATCGGCTTAATGACCCACGTCCGGTAGTCGTCTATCCCAGCGCGTCAGGTAGATTTAAAGAAGAATTGCTGGTTGCGTTTAAGGCAACAAATGGCGCCCAA